CCTGCGACTGGCTCCACCGAGCCGTTTAGATGGAGGCTGCTGCTGTGGCGCGGGAGCAGGGGCAGACGCAGGAGGACGCACCCCCCGGCGACGAGCAGACTGATGAGCCGCGGGCGGTGGGGCAGGATGTGCTTGATGGCCTCAGTCTGCTTCTGTACAGCCGAGAACTGCTGGGCAAAGTTCTCGACCGCGTCACTAGTGTGGACATCGCACGACCCACTGCCCGCACGGTAACCTTCGTCGCACGAAGCGCAAGGTCCGTCGCGGCGCGAAGTTCCTGGAGAACTTGTGGGTTGTGACCACCCTCGTGCAGGTCCTTCAGTGCTTTGGCCTGATGGACCTGCAGCAACGCCATAGCGTGCATGGCAGAGGCAGCCTCCCCACAGGCCTTGTAAGCCTTACCGGTTAAGTCCGACGAGTACTTACAGGCCCGTGAAGGAAGCCACGGTTCTCCACGCCAAGTGGAGTTAGGGCACAGCTGCATTGCAACGGCCCGTTCCACTGGCGGGATACGCGTGTATCCCTTAGCTGCCCCGCCATCGGGGAGCCACCGGAACGGTTTCTGGCAGTGAAAGGTGCCGTCCACGTCCCCGTGGGCTCCTTATGCACCTCCAGGAAGAAGGGCACTGGGGTGGGTTGCTGAGAACCAGCGTGCGCCACCCGAGATACCAATCATCCAACCTCGAGGCCTCGGGACACGGTGGAGGGTTCCACTCGAGCCCGATCCTTTTGGCGGCCCGGGAAAGCATGGTCATCATCTCCGGGTCCGTCTTGGGCACCGCTGACACACCAGAAGGAGGCAGTGGCTCTGAGACGTCGTCCTCAGAGACTTCTGACCCACCCTCCGATGCAGCGATCGACATCTGTCCATCGCAGGGAGCACCAAACGAAACGACTGGTACACACCTCGATGATGGTCCAGCCCACTCCATTGGTAGCTCAGCTGGCTGCGGAGCATAAGAGGGGTGAGGGTTCCTAGGGGGTTGGTTCCCCCGAAGGAAGTGCGCTCACGGTAATCCTCAAGTCTCCCGTGTCACCGCCCGAAGCAACCCGCAATGGGGGGTTGGAACGAGGCGGAGGCACGGGGACACCGTACCTTTGCAGGAACGAGAGTCTCGACCGCAGCTCCGAGATGGTCATCTTCCCACAATGGGTACATGACTCATCCCCGAACGCTGCCTCAGTGTGTTCGAGGCCCAGACACACGAGGTAGCGATCGTGACCATCCTGTGACCCCAGGTAACGACCACATCCAGAAACACACAGATAGAATGTCATCTTGAAAAAGACGCAAACTATCTGTTTAAGCTCTTTTAGAGACTGCTCTCCTTGGTGCTGAAGCACGCAGTGGAACGGTCACGGCAAACACAGACAGGTATGTGCACCTGTCTGTGTGCGATTCTCTCTCGCTGGTCTTACCAGCCGTGAAAACGACCGTTGACCGCTCAACCGCGCACCTTACCAGCTGTGAAAACCGCTTTTTTTTCGTTTGCTCAGTTTTTTTAAAACAACAAACAAAAAGGGAGAGAGAGAGAGAGAGAGAGAGAGAGAGAGAGAGAGAGAGAGAGAGAGAGAGAGAGAGAGAGAGAGAGAGAGAGAGAGAAAAGACAGCTCGCGCTGCTGTGCCGTCACGCCCGCACCAACGTGGAGAGATCTAGAAGAGGCTCGTCTTTCAAATTCACTCAGCATACGAAGTGCTTGGCTCCTCAGCAAAAAGCTAGTGTGCAATGGCAACAGCTGCTCGTTAAATACCCGCGCTGCGAGGCTGCACAGCTGATGCAAATGATTGCATGCCAATGTGCATTGGCTTGTTTTAGTTTCACTCGAAGTAGATTGGCCTCTCTAGCGAGATTTCTATTGGTCAGTCATGACCTACGTTGTAGTGACTGACCGATAGGGAACATGCTGTCCTAACAGTTAAGCAGTGTGAACTTCTCAGGACATAAAGTAGTAAGTCTAAAGGCAGGTGAGATAAAACTCATTATTCTATTATGAACTACATCCATAATTAAAACGACCAAATTACTATCCACTCATTTTTTAGTGACATTAAATTATGGGTGTATTGCAGTAAAAGTTAACACTCCTCTAAAAAAAAAAAAAGGTAATAAAAAAAGATTTAATGAATAGTTCAGTTTCTGGGCTAATCCAGCCATGAGAATACTTTAAAATTGACCCATAGCCTCTATATTGTATTTTGTGTTTGTACAAGTACAATTAGCACTCCTATTGATTTGTGATGGCATCTTTATTAAGGCACGTTTGGGGAAAACATGTCAATTGGATTTAGGAAAACATTTATAGTAAAGTAGTTTGTGATTGCACTCTTGAGGGTCCTTGGAGATAAAATGTCAAGGCTGTTATTTTCTTTCCATTTTATGTGATATACCACCTTTGCAAACCTACATGATAGACAGACAAAAATTGCTGCTATATCTAGATTGCTGGAAACCACTTTCAAATCATAAAGAATACTTGCAAAGACTTGGGAGAAAAAGGTTTTGCATTATTGCTGCCTAGATAATTTCTGAGATCTGCTTTTTCTGGTGCTCTGAATGGCATTAATATTTAATCACATTATGAATTGGGAAAAGGAATACAATTACCAAAGTAAATACACCTGTCCCACCATGCAAGAAATTGCAAAAATCCCACAGCGCACAGCTTTCTTCCCTGAAGGTAAGGAGTGGGAGACGATTGCACTAACTTTGAGATTTGCAACACTGTAATCCTTGACTCTATTTATTTGCTTTCCAGCATGTCAGTTCAAAGGGTCTCCACTGAGACTGACTCCATGTTATCCCTCAAATATTTATTGACTCACTTTGCTTGCTCTAAGAAATCTAATACAATTAGCAGACCTCTGGGACAGCCTGCACCTGTATTCATCTCTCAGGTCTGTTTCGTCTTGAGCATCGAGGAATATAATGGAGAAATATCAATTATAGAGCTCCATTAAAAAGATCAGTGTGCTTTAATGCCAATTAATTCAATTTTAAAAATACTGCCTCAATCTGAATCCCTTTATTGATTAGGTTAGTGAAAGATTGGTTAATCTAGCTTTGTCAATGCTTTCATCTGAAATAAAATTGTAATATTCAGGCTTGTGTGCTAAAATGGACAATATAAAACACATTTTATCATTTGCTATCACTGCTCGTCAGATTCATGGTCACACAGGCGATTGAAATATGTTTCTTTTCCTCTACTTCATACAGTAGAGGAACACAGCTAAATGTATTCTGTGGTTAATAGGTTCACTTTTGTTGGCCAGAGATGAGCTCTTCATCTTCCTTTCCTTACCCTTCAACTCACGACCAGGTGACAGCAGCCAAGTCCTATCGAAACAGCAGGCTCTCGTAGTCTCTGTTGGCAGTGTGTGTGGGTGTCTTTTGTGAATCTTTGACAGAGGCAGCCTTGGCAATAGAAAAGAGAAGACGAGAAGATGAGGCTTTTGTGTTACATGGAGTAGGAGAGCAAAGCTTCATCATAAGCAACTGAAACTCCATTTACAGTACAATCAGACATGGACAACGTGTTTGTGATTCAAGTTTAAGTAAACATTTTTTTTTTTCATGGAGAAAATGTTTGAAGTCAACAGAGTTCTGGGAGGAACTTAAGTTAGCATAGAAGGATAATAATGTCTGCCATCGACAAGCATATGTTTGCAGATGGCAAGTAGCTGACGGATTTCTCAGAAAAAGCATGGTTGTGTCTGTGATCCTATTAATTAACAACTCAAGATTGCGCTTCAATAAACAGTGCATGAAACAACAGCGGATATAGTGATAACTTGATAAATCTGAAAAATAGCATTAATGCACATCAAGGTGAAAACCTTGGTGAAATTAAAGTGTTAGGTTCGCAGTTATGCCTTATTTGTCTGATTGGACATAAGAAATGCAGAGTAAATTACCCTTTTTCTTATTAATCAGAAATAATTGGTATGTCACCCCACTCTGTAGTGGCTGGTTTCATCTTCTGTACTGGCTGAATTTTTCATTGTTTTCTTTGGCCTTCCAATGTCATTCAGTGCTCTGAAGTGTTGTTATGTTTTATTTTTATGCCTCAGAAAGCCTCCCTCTGCTGTCCCGAGTGCTGCTGGGTTGGAATGGCTATCGATGGGAGCTCCACTCTTCTGTTGAAACAGATTTACAGATGAATTATGCAAAATGGAAATGCCAGTGCAATTTTAAAGATTTAGTCAAGCTGGTTGCAGAGAACCTGGATGACAAACTGTACCAAATATTAACCTAAAACTCTAGTGTTTGCAAGCACCTCAAATCTCTGCTAACATTTTGAGGTCGACTGCGATTTCTGTAAGGGAAGGCCTTGCTGTGTAACTTTTTTTGGAATTTTTATGTTCTCTTCAAAATGATTTAGGTCACCTTTGCTGTTGAGAAGTGTTATCACAGAAGCTATAGGTTATAAATATCATAGCTTTTATCCATTATCCACAGGCCTCAGTGATACAGATCAATAAATGAATCGCTCTCTTACAGGGATATTGCGTAAACTAAGTTTGTTAGTCAACATTCTGATCATGAGAAAAACGTAATGCTTTTGATACTTGTGCTTACATTTAATAAGTATACTGGTTTAGAATTAATTATTAAATATGGTTTCAAATTCAAAATGTGGGCTTGGAAAGTCTGTTAAAATCAAGGAAAAGCAGAGTGCAATCTTTTGCTGAGCTTAACTCTGTTTTTCTCCTCTATGTAAACTTGAAACCATCTTAGACATTTCCAAATGTGATTGTGTTGGCTACTAAATAATGATGGCCAAGTAGGTAGGCCTATAGCTAAATAACAGTAACTATATAGACTGTAAAATGTGTCGCCTGACTAAATGGCACTAAAGAAAAATTGAAAGACCAAAAATGCTCACGGCAGCTCACAAGATGAATTTCAGGACATCTGCTTTGACTAACCACAGTAGTTAAAGTTGTTCCATCCCATCTGAAAGAGGAACCCTCCCTCTTGAACAGGCTCCAAAATTACCAATGGAATGAAAAGTTTGGCTCTTTGGATTTCAGTAAGAGGGACTTCTGGGTGGAAGAAGGTTTCCAGAGAAGATAATCTTTGCTCCAGCTACAGTTATGGAGAATAACCCTTACTTCAGCAGTCAAGTCCTTTGCAAAGATGTGAGTATTTCATGTGCATTTATATGCTATATAAATTTAGATTTTTTTATTTTTACTGTAGGAAATCTAAAATCTCAAAGAAAAAAAGTCCCAAAATCAAACATAATGTTCTATAGGAAAACAATATTCAGACGGAATAATGATTCTCTCTTTAATATATAAATATAAACTAAACTAAATTATACATACTATATATACATTTTTCGAAACGCTTAAAAGGTTTAGTAAAGATCATTTGTGAGTGGGAGATCTCAAATAAATTTTTAATTTGAGTTACATTGCTCTTTTTAAAGGTTGTGATATGTGAATGTCGGGTTGGATGAAATGTTAATAATTTCTGACTGCAAGGCTTTTTGAGTGTTTCGTTTTTTGACTTGTTTTCTTCCTTTTCTCCAGCTGAGTGGCACGCTGTATGGATAGACGTACACTACTGTGCAAATTATTCCACATGACTTATAATTAAGCAATCAAGATAATTTTCTCAACATTGTATATGCAATCATATGTCTGCTTTGCTGAAAATCAAGTGGGTGGATTTCTTCTAGAAAATAATGTAACAACAACATTTTTAATATACACTTTCGGACTAGCATAGAGTCAGTGATGATAAATATAGATTTGGGCAATTGTACAACAGTGTGCAATTTCTTTTAAGAAGAAAAATAACAGACAGATTAGAGGGGGATTCTGCTCGGTTTATCCTTTCAGATGAAAATTGTTTTAGTGCAACCGTGTCTGTTTTCCTTCTCTTGTTCTCTCTCTCCCTCCACATGTCCTCTCTCATCTCTCGGCCTCTTTTCTCGATCCCTCCCTCCCGCTCTGCCTCTCTCTTTCTCCTCTTCGCCCTTCCTCACTCACTCTCTCTCTCTCTCATCAGCAGGGGGCCCTCGGCTCCCTTCTTCAACGTAGACTCACACTCAATCCCGCTACTGCAGAATTGCCTCGCTGATTCTTAACCTTAAACCGGTTTAATACTGTTTTGCTGGCAGCCGTCTGTATATTTTCAGAGCCATTTATATTCCGAGCAGATGGAACGTTGTCCTCCAGTCAAGTTTCCACTGCTTATGCAACCTCTGGATTTCAGCACTATCTCTATTCATATTTTTGCTTCATGCAAGGGAAAATTCTTCTTCAGAGGAATTTTAGGCTTCTCTAATTGTTTGTCCTCATGTTTCCCGTCATGATGGGTAGTGAGAGGGCTTAAGCCTTGATTTTTTTAACAGGGTTCTCATGACAAATTCGATGTGAAACTGTCTTTTTCAGCGCATTTGTGCATACTTTCCAAGAAAATCTGTTTTGAAAGCCAGTGTATGCGTGTGTGTGTGTGTATATATATATATATATATATATATAAATAATGATCCTTAAAGACATGGTCTGATTCCTATGTCTCAAACTGTGAGATAAAGTACAATCATAGTAGTCACCACCAAGGGCGGACTTCTGGGACTTCAGCCCCGAATGATTTTTATCATCTTGTCACAATTTTTGTCACAAATAAAATTATTCAGAGCTGCAGGCTGCTCTATAAATCAAATGTGGTCTTGCGAGCCACATTTTGACTGTTTTGCATAAAGTCTGCCGCATTTTGTTATTTATTCTGTCACAAAGCGAAAGAAATGATGACGCCGCTTTCCATTCTACATACAAGAAGTAATCAGAGAAAACTGCGCTGACTTTGGTCGAGCCAGATATCTTGGCAAAGTAGAGAATATTTTAGAGACATAACTCTGCAAACAAAGCAGAACATACATTGATAATACAGCAACTATATTTTTATATCAGAACTCGTAAACAACACATGCCGACTCAACACAAAAATGCTAATGAAGATCAGGTAACACTTTATTTCGATGATCCCTTTTGAAATTTCTGTTGACTAAGTAACATTGCATCTACATGTCAACTAACTCTCATTATTAGTAGACTGTCTGCTTAATATCAGCTGACTCTTTATTATGATGCTCCTCTAGCATACTGCCTATAAAAAACTTTGTAAGCACATGTCAACTTATTCTAACCCTAACCCTACCAGTCTACTAATACTCTTCTAACACTCTAAGAGTTAGTAGAAATGTAGGTCCATGTGTTCAAGGGAACATCAAAATAAAGTGAAAAAAAGATTGTGAAACCGAAGATCGGATCGTAAAAAGATGAAAGGGAAGAAAACTATTGCATTTTAAAGTTGAGAAACATTTAAACATATTTATTATAATAAAGTGCATTATTCAATATTTTTAAAAAATGAAACCATGCACATTGATAGAGGTCTGGCCTAGCCTATGCTCTGAATATCCACTGAGCCTAGAACCGCACATGGTCACCACTGCTATTTCTGTTCTTTAAGCTTCTGTTTCGGCTAGAGACATTTGCTAATTGAAGCTTGTTCCTCCATATTTCATCATTCTGATTGGCCATGTCCTGAGAGATAGTGGAGCACACCACTGTGAATAGTAAGCTTTAAGACTCTCCCTCCTGGAACTCAGCCGGAACAAAAGCCTTTCTTTATTAATTTGCGGCCATAAGCTCCGGGAATTTAATCGAACTGACGAACTTTTAATTTGGGACAATTTTAATAAATGTGACCTTTTGTTCTACATCCCGGAAGAATTTAAATTGCCCTTGTGATTATTTCTTACTCAGTTGAGCACTGTGGTGCAATACATTGAACGTGTGAAACCTTTACATGGAATCACATCATATAAATATACAGATGTACAATAATGTGAATGTTTGTATAGGTTGAGCTGGGGAAAGAGAAGGAAAGAAAGGCCAGGTATCACGCTTACCAGTGTGTCGCCATCATTCTGAGTGTTGTATTCCTGATACTGGCCCTCTGTATCTTCAGTCTGAGATATATATGGAGCCCAAACCCTGGGAAGGTAAGAGAAATCCAAATCTATTGTGCAGACCAAGAGATATTACTGAGAATGGTGCATGACTGTGGATTAATTAGGAAATGATTAGAATAACAATCGTTCAATGGAAATGAAAGACACAGAAACATCTGCACACACTGTTTAGTATTCTTGGAACTGACTGAATCCAATCTTGATTTCCTTGGCATAAACAATAGCATCACAGAGTTGGAGAAAATGCCAGAATGAATAGATAAATACATATTACGTTTTACATAATAAGACTGCAACAATAATCGGAACTGCAAAACATAGATATTAAACATTATAATTCCCCAATTCTTGTTGATACTCAGAAACGGTCAGCATGTAAGTAATTGGCAATGCCGATACCGAGTGTCAACAGATACGCAAACCTTATGCTTCGGTGTACTACGTTATGCATAAATTCTCCCAGAGGATGTTACTCGTAGAACAGCCAATTCTTTTAGCGCATTTGCTAAAGCTCCAGTCTAATTTCTGCATCAGATATTTCACGCTCCTGCTTGAGGAGTCATCAGTTTGAGCAGCAGAACCAGTGAAGATTCTCACAGGGCATGTAATGGGCTTAATGACACTGGAAGTCTGGGCTGTAGAGATCAAGAGCGAGTGCTCACACTCTCAAACTGCTGCGGTCGGCTAACTAAAGGCCCATGTAGTCGCTGATATCCAGCAATGAGCAATATAATGGTGCTTTAAAACACAATGATAGGCCTAACCGTTAGGGGGTCTCTTCTCAACAGCAGTCAGGGGGAAATATTAGGCAAGAGATGTGTGTGTGTGTGTGTGTGTGTGTGTGTGTGTGTGTGTACACAGTATGCCTCAGGTGATGACATCAACAATGAAACCTGAATGTGCGACTATTGCAGCTCCGGGCATCACAATTCTGAAGTTTAGATATGAATATTTCAAACCAACACTGCATATTTCATAAGCCACACCTCCCCTTATTTAGACTTGATGAAATATGAAATGTTTCTCGCTTTCCTTATTTTGCTAGGTAAGACATCATCAATTATTCCCATGCTCTTAAAAGGAACAGCTCCTGACAAACTAATTAGAAGTCAATACATCAATAGAGCAGGAGATTGTCTTAGCCAATCCCTCCATGTGGCAGCAGGGAGAGGCAAAGCGGTCTCCTGTGTCTAGCTCTGCATAAACTGTTGTAGAAAGGTAATTTGCTCTCCATATTGTATTTCAATATGACATGGTAACCACTTGGGAACTTCTTTTAATTACTTACAAACATATGTTGTTACAGAAGCCCAGGGAAGATAAAGAGTTAGCCATCATTCTCTATGCTACTATGCGTTTAAGAGGGGCGTGTGCGCATCTAACTGTGCGACTGCGTGTTGTCCAGCTGCGCCATCATGTTTTTCATGTCCTAATTATTGTTCTCTTGGTTCCTGTGGGATTAAATGCCTGTCATATCACCTAATAGAACCAAATTTAAAGCAATTGCCTTTTAAATGACACACATAGTAGCACTGCTGCACTTTTTTAAAAACATCTGCTGCAGTAAACTGATGTCATCAATTTTTCTGACCTTTCTGAATGCCTGTTGTCTCTTAAGGAACCGTGGTTGACAGACACACGTGCAGCAGCCAAGCCGAATACTTTCAGGCTCCCTTATCAGGCCTGAACCACAGGCGTCTGTCATATTGACCGCGGTGTCTGAGAACACCTCGTATAGATCACACGAACAGCGGCGGAGAGGGGCTGTGAAATTGCCTTCGCCGCACACGTCTGTCAGGCTCACGAGACACCCCCCATTATTCAAGCTGAAATTACTTCGCTCACCTTGTTGCTATGTTGTGTTTGCAAGCCAGCCTCGCAAAATGTGCCCCCAACCGCCTCTTAAGGACTTCTGTGTCCTGATGTGTATCTTAATGAACACAGTTGCACCTGCTCTCCAGTAATAGTGGCAGGTGCCGGGCAAAGAACGGCCCCCCTGAGCAGCTTTGTTTACTAGCCATGTCCAGCAACCAGGTTATTTTTTTTCTTTTTGGACTGTTGTGTTGGTTGCGGAACCTGATTTCACCAGGTGTGACATTTTCCTGGATGAACATCTCTGTTGATCCTGGAACAACATTCCAATCAACCAATCAGATTTGAGAGACAAGTTTAAAGTTTATGTCAAATGTAGGCTTACAACCTGGGTTAGGTGCTTCTATATTATCTAAATCTGTTATTCACCTATCATTTCCCTCTGATTTTAGGGATTACATATGTAAGGTTATGTTTGGGGGTAGGAAAAAGGGTTAGGACAAAATTTTCGCCAGGAATATTGTTCAAGGATCAACAAAATATGTTGACCCAGGAACACGTCTAATTTGGCAAAATCAGGATGTGCGTGTTGGTCCCCTCACAAGAAAAGATGGTGGCATGATGGTGGCTCTGTCGGCTTTCTGAAAGCGGCCCTAAAATAGCCCAAATCTTTGTGTGCCCCTTTCTCTCTCTACATGGAAAATCCCCAGGTCTTCGGATCTTGGGGGAGAATAATTTCAGTAATGAAGCGGACTGGCCAATCCGTGCAGCTGCCTTTGGAAGCACCTCCATACGGGTGGTGCTTTCGGGTATGCAATTTTCTTTTATTTTACTCATCAGACTCATTTATTCATTTATGAGCTTGTATTTTTACTGGGCTTATGCAAAAGTCTCTGACCTCCACCTGGCTGAAGCAAACTGTTCCCTTGTAAAGGAGAGGCAGGGGAACATGACACGTCCGCTCGACCCAGTCAGGGGCTCTCAGGTGGACTGTGAATGCTTGTAGAAGTGTTTTTATATGTTTTCAGGTGCTCCCCAGGATTCCTGTTAATTATTATGAACAGAAAAGTGGTAGCCTGCAAAGGTAATAAGTCTGTAGCTAATTTTTTTTTTTTTTTTTTTGACATGTTATATCAGGAACAATGACCTCATAGACAAAGACAAGCAAGAATAGACACAATTCTAATTTAGAAAGCAAATCAGCAAAACAAAACAAAATCATATTAGAATAACTATTAATTTATAAACAAAAAGGATTGTCAACACATTTGTTTAAACAACAAATGTGGTTGTGTGCCAGTTAGTCGAATTGAGGTAGAAAATAGGATGGAGAATTGTCATTTGAATTTGAATGTTAGTATTGATATTCAAAGAAATTGTCATTTTAACTAAAATAGCCATGTTTGAGAAAACAAACTTTGAATGTTGGCTTGACAACTCCTTTAGTCTGAAGCTTCATACGCCTTTCAGAGAGAGAGAGAGAGAGAGAGAGAGAGACTTTATTTCCCAGAATGCAATTCCTTGACTTTCTCTGAAATACAATTCAGTAAATTACTCTTCCTGATATTTAATTAAAATTCAGCTTTAAATTTCAAGTGGACTAACAATTTAAAGCTGCAGTCCACAGTTGTTCCTCTTTGTCGCCATCTCTGTTCGAAATCTGCAATTGCAGTTATTCACGGAATTATCAACTTTACGTGAGTTGTACTTCGACACGGCACAGCGCGGATGAACACAATGTTTGAGGAGAGTGTGCGGCTGTCAGTCACCGCGCCGGTGTGGATACTGGCATTCAGAATTACAGATTATTCTTTTTGGAAGTATGACCAACATAAGAATTTTCACCGGAAAATGTCATCTGAACTAGTAAGAAACATCCACTTTTGTTCTGGTTCTGACATTGCAGTAAATTTACGCTGACTAAATCTAACAATCGCTTATCATATCACGCAAAACCGTGCAAATTATACTTTGTTCTCAAATTGTTAATGTTAACAACGTCAGCATTGTGTGACTACATGTAATGTCCTTCCGATATGTATCCTTGTTTTCGCATGGGTCCGGTTTCAGTCTCTTTTTTTCTGTAGCCACTCCGAAGTCCGAACGAAGTCTTTTGCATTTTACAACGGGTGAATCTCCAGTTGTCACTGGGGATTGTCATTTGAACCTTTCTGGATCCGCCATCAAATTGATAAGTTCAATTATATCAAGTGCTATGAGAAAAGGCTATAAATCTCCACCTCCAACATCCTCACACGCAATATAGCCTACTAGCCGAGACTCCTTCTTTATGTGTACAGATGTGACGTAATGACGCAAAGACATGCTCAAATTTCCCGCGGAAATGCACCAGTACCACTGGAATTAAAAACATTATTACCAGCTTACCGTTTTGAATCGAGCTAAGGCAAGCAGATAGTTTTGAACACTGGCTGGTTATGTATTTTCTCAAAAATGTATTTTGGATAATTTTTAACCCAAAAAAAGCTACGGACTGCAGCTTTAAGAAATCTCAAATAGTACTTTAGATAGACAAATAGAGATTCTGGATGTACACATTTACAATGACGTTCTTGGTCTTTGCAAGCAACACATAAAATATTCTCCACTTCATTATGGACATGTGCTACCTATTTCCCTTACCCTCCATTGCCTCTTACTCTTTCCCATCAAGACCCTGTTCCCCTGAAAATCAGAGAACAGAACAGAGATCAGTTCTCTTTCAGTTCTCCCAGCGAAATAACAATATATAACCGGTCTTTAAGAACGTCTTGATCGACTGGGATACAACCACTCTCCTTGCCTCCCTCTCCGTCTTTTCCTGGCATTTCTGGTACCTGATTTTTGTTTTCTTTTCTCCGACATTTTTCAGTCAGTCAGTCTCCTGCTCTTCCACCAAGTTCATCGTTAACTTCAGGCTGCCGCCTCAACTCTGATTGGTTCTGTTCACGAGCTGGGGCGGGACTTACAATTTTATTGGGTCCATCTGATGTTTGTCACTGACTCTGACTGAATAATTAATAAATACTTTAGGTCGGACTAAACCATTTTTATGGAGGTAAGAGAAGCAGATATTTGGAAAAATATTTACCCAAATTCCACGTTTTTGTGGTTTTCATTTAAATCTCAGGCATACAACTAATATAAATATTAGAATTATTCATACAACAGGGGCCTAAATAGTATAACTGCTGGATTTTGTGGGGCCCCCTGGGCAG